TTTTTTATTTCTATGGGAATTACGATTATCACATTGAAATTTTATTGGAAACATTTGAACCAGGGTATTTGTACTGCTTCAGGATAATTCAATTCTTTTCGTGCAATTAGAGAACTCTAGAGAAAGTAAACGAAAATTGCAAAAACTCATTGTTTGATACTCTGTAGTTTCTATTTCTTTCCGGAGAAGGCTTACTGACGGCTTTTCTCAGCCAAAATGCTGATGTTGCATGTCGGCATTTTATACGTGAATCTCATAATGATATTTTGCACCTTGAAACCGTCATTTTTGGTCATGCCCTACCAGTATTCTGGCCGAAAAGAGTAACCTGACGCCATTTTCAAACGGAAGAAAATTGGAATGCAGAATATTTATCTGTAATTGGATGTCTTTTCTCAAAGAAAATTGCAAAGTAGAACTTTATCAGCAATGAAAATGTAATAAATGCTGAAAAAATTTGTTTTCATTATCAACTAATTCTTTTTTTCGAAAACATATAACTGAACTCATGCTGACAAAGAGATTTACTGTATAATAATAAATAACTGCAGATGTCGACCCAGAAAGACTACTCGATGGCGACTGCAGATATTGTGGATGCAGAAGTGAGGGAGCTTGTAGACCGGGCGTACTCTAGGGCAAAGCAGATAATCACAACCCATATCGACATTCTGCACAAGCTGGCTCAGTTGCTGATTGAGAAAGAAACTGTTGATGGAGAGGAGTTCATGAGCCTCTTCATTGATGGCAAGGCTGAACTTTATGTTGCATGATTTTTTGTCACTCAAAACAATTCGATAAAAAAGAAAAAAATAAAAAAAAATCCCTATTTGTTGTATATTCTTAGGTTTATATAGATACATGTATTCGAGATACAAAAATTTGGCTCCAACAATTTTACTAGTGAATGTATGTATGTAGTCTTGAATCTTGATATATTGTTGTACATTGTAATGATTTGAGATACATAATCAAAATTTTAAGTTTTAATGGAGTGTATATTGTTGTACATTGTAATGACTAGTACAACACCCGTGTATTACACAGGTGTTTGTTAAAAAATTATTTTTAAATTGTAAAATTAATGAGAAAATTATATTAAATTTAGTTTACTTTTTTTTTACAAAAAAAAAATATATATTACTATATATTTTGCTTATGACTTACATGTGTTATATTATATTAGTTTTTATAACTTATATCATATAACTACTTGAAATATAAATATATTAGTTGATAAATAATTTTATTTTTCTAATTAATATTAAAAATAATTTTATAATTGTTATAAAGATAAATATAAATTTTTTTTTTTATACATACAATATGGATGTTAAATCGAAGCTCATCAAAAGAGGATTAATTTGATATATTACATATGTAAAACAGATAAAAAAATAAAAAAGTTATTAACTTTTAAAATATATATACAATTCAATTGTTATAATAAGGAATGATGTTAAAATACAATTAATACATGTAACATGACCATAAATAATCAACATATTTATGGTAATCCGAACCTAATTATTTTTGTTTTGGAATTAAATTAAAATTTACCCAAACCTAATAACGAAGCATGCAATTAAAATACCTAAGTTAGCTAAATAATATTTATGGAATACTCGAACCTAGATTATTAATTATTAATATATCAATATCATTTATCCAAACCTAATTACGAAGCATGATTCTTCGCCAAATAAGATTCCGAAACACCAGAAGCAGCCACGTAGGCTCTGCGCATTCTGAAATTATATATAGGGAGGATTTGAGATGCATATATTGTTGCGATTTATTATATTATTTTAAGACTTGTTAGAATTTTAAAGAAAAAACCATATATGAATCATCCTTTCAAATCCCACTTCTGTACCTAAGAATTCGTCGGATTTTTCTAAATTTACTGAAAAATTCTCAAAAATCAAAAAGTTTTTACTCGAAATTTTAAACGAATACACCCCCTTAGTCTAACTTGATATTGGTAAAAAACTAATTGTATTTCGAGTTTTACAAAATGGGCCGGGCCGGGCTACGATTGTCGCCTGCCAGGCCACGAGTCAGCCTTGGTGCGCTGCTAGTGGGCCATAGGGTGGGGTCGGGGTATGGGCTACCCGGCTTGATTTGGTCCATTGTCATCTTCAAATACATGATGGCTTAGAATCATTTACATTACACTACATTTCAATGGCTTTTGGTAAACTGGTAGAATTGTGAAATTTCAAC